TGATTCAGCTCGTCTATAAAGACTCCCTGATTCAGCTCGTCTATAAAGACTCTCTGATTCAGCTCGTCTATAAAGACTCTCTGATTCAGCTCGTCTATAAAGACTCCCTGATTCAGCTCGTCTATAAAGACTCCCTGATTCAGCTCGTCTATAAAGACTCCCTGATTCAGCTCGTCTATAAAGACTCCCTGATTCAGCTCGTCTATAAAGACTCCCTGATTCAGCTCGTCTATAAAGACTCCCTGATTCAGCTCGTCTATAAAGACTCCCTGATTCAGCTCGTCTATAAAGACTCCCTGATTTAGCTCGTCTATAAAGACTCCCTGATTCAGCTCGTCTATAAAGACTCCCTACAGCTCGTCTATAAAGACTTCCTTCAGCTCGTCCATAAAGACTCCCTTCAGCTCGTCTATAAAGACTCCCTTCAGCTCGTCTATAAAGACTCCCTTCAGCTCGTCTATAAAGACTCCCTTCAGCTCGTCTATAAAGAATCACTTCAGCTCGTCTATAAAGAATCACTTCAGCTCGTCTATAAAGACCCACTTCAGCTCGTCTATAAAGACCCACTTCAGCTCGTCTATAAAGACTCACTTCAGCTCGTCTATAAAGACTCACTTCAGCTCGTCTATAAAGACTCACTTCAGCTCGTCTATAAAGACTCACTTCAGCTCGTCTATAAAGACTCTCTTCAGCTCGTCTATAAATACTCACTTCAGCTCGTCTATAAAGACTCACTTCAGCTCGTCTATAAAGACTCACTTCAGCTCGTCTATAAAGACTCACTTCAGCTCGTCTATAAAGACTCACTTCAGCTCGTCTATAAAGACTCACTTCAGCTCGTCTATAAAGACTCACTTCAGCTCGTCTATAAAGACTCACTTCAGCTCGTCTATAAAGACTCACTTCAGCTCGTCTATAAAGACTCACTTCAGCTCGTCTATAAAGACTCACTTCAGCTCGTCTATAAAGACTCACTTCAGCTCGTCTATAAAGACTCACTTCAGCTCGTCTATAAAGACTCACTTCAGCTCGTCTATAAAGACTCACTTCAGCTCGTCTATAAAGACTCACTTCAGCTCGTCTATAAAGACTCACTTCAGCTCGTCTATAAAGACTCACTTCAGCTCGTCTATAAAGACTCACTTCAGCTCGTCTATAAAGACTCACTTCAGCTCGTCTATAAAGACTCACTTCAGCTCGTCTATAAAGACTCACTTCAGCTCGTCTATAAAGACTCACTTCAGCTCGTCTATAAAGACTCACTTCAGCTCATATATAAATACTCACTTCAGCTCGTCTATAAAGACTCAATTCAGCTCGTCTATAAAGACTCACTTCAGCTCGTCTATAAAGACTCACTTCAGCTCGTCTATAAAGAGACTCCCTTCAGCTCGTCTATAAAGAGACTCCCTTCAGCTCGTCTATAAAGAGACTCCCTTCAGCTCGTCTATAAAGAGACTCCCTTCAGCTCGTCTATAAAGAGACTCCCTTCAGCTCGTCTATAAAGAGACTCCCTTCAGCTCGTCTATAAAGAGACTCCCTTCAGCTCGTCTATAAAGAGACTCCCTTCAGCTCGTCTATAAAGAGACTCCCTTCAGCTCGTCTATAAAGAGACTCCCTTCAGCTCGTCTATAAAGACTCCCTTCAGCTCGTCTATAAAGAGACTCCCTTCAGCTCGTCTATAAAGAGACTCCCTTCAGCTCGTCTATAAAGAGACTCCCTTCAGCTCGTCTATAAAGACTCCCTGATTCAGCTCGTCTATAAAGACTCCCTGATTCAGCTCGTCTATAAAGACTCCCTGATTCAGCTCGTCTATAAAGACTCCCTGATTCAGCTCGTCTATAAAGACTCCCTGATTCAGCTCGTCTATAAAGACTCCCTGATTCAGCTCGTCTATAAAGACTCCCTGATTCAGCTCGTCTATAAAGACTCCCTGATTCAGCTCGTCTATAAAGACTCCCTACAGCTCGTCCATAAAGACTCCCTTCAGCTCGTCTATAAAGACTCCCTGATTCAGCTCGTCTATAAAGACTCCCTACAGCTCGTCCATAAAGACTCCCTTCAGCTCGTCTATAAAGAATCACTTCAGCTCGTCTATAAAGACTCCCTGGTTCAGCTCGTCTATAAAGAGACTCCCTTCAGCTCGTCTATAAAGAGACTCCCTTCAGCTCGTCTATAAAGAGACTCCCTTCAGCTCGTCTATAAAGAGACTCCCTTCAGCTCGTCTATAAAGAGACTCCCTTCAGCTCGTCTATAAAGAGACTCCCTTCAGCTCGTCTATAAAAACTCCCTTCAGCTCGTCTATAAAAACTCGCTTCAGCTCGTCTATAAAAACTCGCTTCAGCTCGTCTATAAAAACTCGCTTCAGCTCGTCTATAAAAACTCGCTTCAGCTCGTCTATAAAAACTCGCTTCAGCTCGTCTATAAAGACTCGTTTCAGCTCGTCTATAAAGATTCTCGCTTCAGCTCGTCTATAAAGACTCTCGCTTCAGCTCGTCTATAAAGACTCTCGCTTCAGCTCGTCTATAAAGACTCCCTGATTCAGCTCGTCTATAAAGACTCCCTGATTCAGCTCGTCTATAAAGACTCCCTGATTCAGCTCGTCTATAAAGACTCCCTGATTCAGCTCGTCTATAAAGACTCCCTGATTCAGCTCGTCTATAAAGACTCCCTGATTCAGCTCGTCTATAAAGACTCCCTGATTCAGCTCGTCTATAAAGACTCCCTGATTCAGCTCGTCTATAAAGACTCCCTGATTCAGCTCGTCTATAAAGACTCCCTGATTCAGCTCGTCTATAAAGACTCCCTGATTCAGCTCGTCTATAAAGACTCCCTGATTCAGCTCGTCTATAAAGACTCCCTGATTCAGCTCGTCTATAAAGACTCCCTGATTCAGCTCGTCTATAAAGACTCCCTTCATCTCGTCCATAAAGACTCCCTTCAGCTCGTCTATAAAGAATCACTTCAGCTCGTCTATAAAGAGACTCCCTTCAGCTCGTCTATAAAGACTCTCGCTTCAGCTCGTCTATAAAGACACTCTCTTCAGCTCGTCTACAAAGAGACGCCATTCAGCTCGTCTATAAAGACTCTCGCTTCAGCTCGTCTATAAAGACTCTCGCTTCAGCTCGTCTATAAAGACTCTCGCTTCAGCTCGTCTATAAAGACTCTCGCTTCAGCTCGTCTATAAAGACTCTCGCTTCAGCTCGTCTATAAAGACTCTCGCTTCAGCTCGTCTATAAAGACTCTCGCTTCAGCTCGTCTATAAAGACTCTCGCTTCAGCTCGTCTATAAAGACTCTCGCTTCAGCTCGTCTATAAAGACTCTCGCTTCAGCTCGTCTATAAAGACTCTCGCTTCAGCTCGTCTATAAAGACTCCCTTTAGCTCGTCTATAAAGACTCCCTTTAGCTCGTCTATAAAGACTCCCTTTAGCTCGTCTATAAAGACTCCCTTTAGCTCGTCTTCTATAAAATGACTGCCTTCAGTTCGTCTATAAAGACTACCATCATCTCGTCTATAAAGACTAGCATCTGCTCGTCTATAAAGACTCCCTTGAGCTCGTAAGTAAATAAGTATTTTCGGTATAAAAATTGTGTATTTTTTGTATATAAATAACAAATAACCTTATTCTATGAAATAATAATATGGCACTTAAGAATTCAAACTTAAAACTAAATCTTACTGTCACAATTTTTTATACAAATGACTTATACATATATAAAATCATATTTTTTCTCTGTATTGTGATTTAAATAATTTAAATTATTTTCAAAACATTTCTTTCCAGTAGTGAAAAAAAAAAATAAATGAAAATATTTCTTCTTCAGTAGTCCTTCAATAATACTCTATTGAAAAATATTTAAGAAACTCCCAATGATCCGTATTCATTCGTTTCAGGATATACAATTTAGTGACAACATTCACTCTCATAGACATCCTGCTTAATCCACCCAAAAAAAAAGTAACCAACACCAAGACCCAAAATCACTGCCAAACATAGCCAATAATTATAGGTCATGAAGACCAACATCATCAGATAGGATAATATAATCTGTATGAGATTAAAGAATGTCTGAATCAGATGGGGTGTTGAGAAAATCCTCTGAGCGTAAGTTTTTTCACGTATCGGTGCCAAAGTGCTGGAGGCATGACAGGTGGGTGTCGTAGTTGAGGGTCCAGTCGTTTTTAATTGCAATTCCAATGCGACACGTTCAGCTTCATTGCGAACGGCTCGACGTAAGAAATATTCCCGGACAAATTTCAGCGATTCATAAAGGAAAGCGACCACAAACAGGGCCAAGGCGGACAGGACAAATTGTGTAACCGTTGTGGTCATCCATCCCTTCCACAAGATGCATTCCGTATAGCCAGTGTGGAACTGAAAAAATTAAATAAATAATAAATAGAAAATGAAGGAATAACTCAATAAATAATAAGAAATAAAGTTTTGTAATTTTCAAGTATTGCTAAATCGATTATAACTTAATTGTACTTCAATGTTCAATTGTTTTATCAGGTGAATAAAGAATTTTCAAAAACCTTCAATGTCTAAAATTCTGAGAGAGTTGTTTAGGTAATTACTCAACATGTGTTTATTGAATTTCTACAAACAAAGAAAGGTATGTATTTTTTATATTTATAAAAAAAACATTTTATAAAAAAGAAACACTTTTTATAAATTTATTTTATTAATTTTTAGTCTTTTTCAAATATTTGTTTAGATAAATAAAAACACAAAGAGGGAGAGAACTTGATATGTTTTCTTATGCAAGATAAAACAATAGGGTTGCCAAGCCAATTAAATGAAATGTCAGTTACCCACCGTTATTCCGTTAAATAGTAAATATTAAAAAAACAACAAATTTTTAAGACCTCACGTAAGAAATCGTGTTGTTTCGACACAATATTTCAATTTAATCTTGAAATTTTGGGTGAGGTTCACTCTTAGTCCAAAGGTGTCAAATAATTCTGGATTTTTGGGAATCCGTACTACAAAGGAATGAAAAGTACTAAATGTGTTACCATTTGTATTTGGCGAACCGGTAAAGCTAGAGCTCTTATATAATTTATAATTATATTAATATTTGAAATGAGGGTTACTGAGGGACTGTAGGATAGATGTATCAAAGGGTTTTTGGAAATTCGAACTATAATTAACCGAAAAGTACTAAAATGTACTAAATTTGTCACAGTTTCGTAACATGTGAACGGATAGAGCTAAAAACTTGAAATTTGGAATGTGAATCAATGTTGAGATGTAGGGTCGATATAAGGAAGTGGTTTTGAAAGTCTGTACTCAAATACCCGAAAAGTACTAAACGGTACTAAATTTGCTACAATTTGAATTTGGAGGACCGTATGAACTCGAATACGGAAATTTAAAATTAATTTTATCGTCGGAGTGTATGATTGGGATATGTAAGTAGTTTTGGATATTTTGGATATTTTTCTAATGTGTACGAAAGGTAGTAAATGGTACTATATTTGGTACAATTTGGTTTTTGGCGAACCGATAGAGCTTGCACCCTGAATTTTGGAAAAGAGATTACTACTGCATTTAGAATTTAGTAGAATTGAGGTGTAGGTAGTTTGAGAATTTCTTAGTTATATAAGATTACTGTTGGAGTTTAGGAATGAACGTCTGTACACAAATAAACGAATAGTACTAAATGGTACAATTAGAATATGCAGGACCGGATGGAGCAGGAATTCCGGAAATTTGAAATTAACATTACAGTCGGTGTATGATTGCGATAAATAGGTAGTTCTGGATATTTTTTAACTAATGTGTACGAAAAGTACTAAATGGTGGTACACTGAATTTCGGAAATAAGATTACTACAATGCTGAATTGAGGTTGATTGTTTAAGAAATTCGTACTAAATGGTACTAAATTTTGTACATATTGAATTGTAAATAAACCAATAGATCTGGTATCCTAAAATTTGGAGTTAGGTTCAGTGTTGGGATGTAGAATTTGGGTACGTTTTGGAAATTCGTATCAATGTGTACTAAATGGTACGAAATTTGGAATGAGAACTGTTGGAGAGTAGGGTTGAGGTACAGATGTAGGTTTGGGAATCGGGAATCAGGTAGGTAAATTATTTATATATTTTATTTGGACTTAGCTGATCCAATAAATCTGGAATTCTGAAATTTGAAATAAAGATTGCTTTTCGAGTGTAAAATTGGGCTATATAGGAAGTTTTATAAATTCATACTTATGTATATTAATTTGTACTAAATTTGATTAACTGTTGGGGTGTGAATTGGGGCATGTAGCAAATTGTGGAAATTCGTACTAATGTGTTCGAAATGGTACTAAATTTAATACAATTTGGATTTAGATTATCCGATAGAGCTGCTGGAGAGTAGGATTGATGCACGGACGTTGGTTTGGGAGTGTGTACTTATGGGTACTAAATGCTACTTAATTTGAATTTAGGTGAACCTATAGATGTGGAATTTTGAAATTTGAAACTAAGATTACTTTGGGATTGGGGTATGTAGAAAGTTTTGGAAATTTGTACTTAAGTACACTAAATCGAACTAAATGTAGTACAATTTAGATTTGGGTGAAACGATCGGGCACGAATCCTGCATTTGTTGGATTGATCAGGTAGGTAATTTATTTATATTATAAATACGCACTAAATGGTACTAAATTTGATACTATTTGGATTTAGCTGAACCAATAGAGCTGGAATTCTGAAATTTGGAATTAGGATTGCTTTTGAGATGTAAAATTTGACTACCTGGGAAGTTTTGTAAATTCGTATTTATGTGTACTAAATAGTACTAATTTTAGTTGAATGTTGGGGTGTAGAATTGGGGCATTTAGTAAGTTATGGAAATTCGTACAAATGTGTACGAAATTGTACTAAATTTAACACAATTTTAATTTAGATTATCCGATATAGCTGAGATTTGGAATGAGGACTGTTGGAGAGTAGAAGTGAGGCACGGATTTTGGTTTGGGTACTTGTACTTGGGGGTACTAAATGGTTCTATATACCGTACAATTTGGATTTGGATGGACTGATTTCTGTTGGATTGTTCAGATAGGTACTAAATGATTTGGATATAGGTGAATCGATAGATCTAGAATTATGAAATTTGGAAAACAGATTGCTTTTGAAGTGTAGGGGTATGTAAAAAGTTTTGAAAATGTGTACTTATTGTATACTAAATGGTAGTTATTACATGGTACTAAGGTAGGTATTATATGGTACTAAGGTAGGTATTATATGGTACTAAATTTAGATTTGGTGATCCGATGGAATTCTAAAATTAATTAAGAATACTTTTGGAGTGTAAATTGGGTTATCTGGACAGTTGTGTAAATGTGTACTTATGTATACTAAATAGTACTGAATTTGGTACAATTTAGAACAGGCTGGAATCCAGAAATTGGAGAAAATCAGTGTTGAGGTGAAACGAATATTAATGTGTACTAAATTGTACTACATTTGGTAAAAATTGGATTTCGGTGAACCTATATTGGTCAAATTATGAAATTTAGAATTAATTTTGGAAATAAGTACTATAAGGGTACAAATGGTACCTAATTTAGTATAGAGCAAGATTACTTTTGAGGTCAGAATTTGTGTGTAGTATTGTAGTAGAGAACAAAGGTACTAAATGGTAATCAAATTATGGTCGATGTTGGTGCGTAGGTTGATTAGCTCTGTTTTCTTTTTGAATGTTTAAATATTAGTTTGGGGAAAATCCATTATTATTTTCGCCAGATGACTGTACTGATAAATTTCTCGTAATGGCGAAAATGCAAGCCAAACGGCTAAAATTGTAAATGGTGTTTATGGTTCCGACTTTTGGGTTAAATATTTCAATTGAGGTTTGGTTAAAATATTACAATCTGTAATCAATGAATCAAATCGAATACTTCATTGGGTTAATATGAAATTTACAAATTATTTAAAAATTTTAAGCTTTTTAGAGGAGGTAACAGAAATAATGGACCGATGAAACCTATTATCTGGCCTAATATATGCTTGGTAAAAATATTTCTTTGCACATCTTAGTTTGGCTCAAATTGGATGTTCCATTAGCTTTATATAAGATATATGGACCCTTTGTGAGAAGTAGTGGAGCAATACCCATCATATTTACACATTTGCAGGCCATATCAACAGACCGATACAAAGAAGCACCTCTATAAAAACTCCCTTCAGCTGCTCTAATAAAGGTAATAAAACCGTTAATTTAAAAAAACAAAAAACAGTTAATTTTAAATAGAAATCAGGACCAGGACTGTTAAAAAATATTTTCAAAGGAAATGTTGATACCATGAACACCTGTCCATAAAATAAGGTATTAAATCTTTCCGTGAAGGTCAGCTATTTAGAATCATATTTAATTTTAAATTTAAAAAAATCAAATAACTACAAGAAAGTTAATCGGGAAGAGTACAACCCCTTACCCATTTTACATTCATACCTTTACCTTACAGTACGGTTTACATTATATAGAATTTCGTTAATCAGCGGGTTTAAGTTGTAAGTTCCTTTGAATATATGCCAAATAAATATTCATAAAGATGCTTAAACCGGTAAAAGTTCTAACGTAAATGTCGTTTTACTACCATTAAAATTCACGAAATTTTATTTTTTCATATTTCCCGAATAATTCATTTTTATAACAATTCCACATTTTTTGTTTATTTTTCACAAATATCATGGCAACTCTACATTTGATTACTTAAGAGAATATGTTCTGTCTTATCAATTCAATTTTGTCCGGTGGCCTTTAAAAAAAATCTCAAATAGTATCTTCACACAATTTGAAGTGTCTCTTTGTATTCTCTTTCACATTTCTCTCTCACTCACTCGCTCGCTGACTGAACAATAAATTCACTTAATTCAATTATGCCATTTAAAGATGTTGTCAATTTGATAGTTGATAATGGAAATATCAACAACAACAACAAAAACAATTTGTCAATACTTACAGCCATATTCATGGGGCAAGAACCATGACCATCATGTTCACCATCCATGCCGGAGCCACCACTGCCATGATCATGATCGTGATCCATTTTTAAGTTTTTTTTTTCGAATTAAAACAAAACGCGAAAGTATTTAAAATTTGGTCACTGCCGACAAAAAATGTGGATCAAGGTAATTAGTAAAAAAAAACCGAAAATTACAACTCCAACTGAATGACAAATCAGGTGGAATTTGGAACAACAGGCGAACAACGAAGCTTATCGCAGTGGATAGCAATCAAAATGTCAGAACGTTGTTTTTTCGTTTTCGATTTGTTTTGCTTCTTGTTCACTTGTTGCAAGTGAAAGCCAATTGAATACTGAGTCCAGGTGTTGAAACGCTGTGGTCTTTTTAAAGCGTTTTTCGGGCGATAATTGTTTTTGCACGTCTTCGAGCGGTCTGTGTCGTCACTTCGGTTCTTGATTGAGTATCTTTACCTGTATTTTGGAATCACTGTTTACCAAAAGAAACAACAACATCAACATGAACGAAATACAAACGATCGACAACGATAACAATAATAAATACAACCGAATACCACCATTATTTAATCCCAGACTATAAACTGATAAGAATTGCCGAGCAATTCCATCGTAGAGGCCATCAGCTAGAGCTATGAAAAATTCCTCCATAATGCCATGCCATATTATGTGAGAGTAAATAGAGCATAATGAGCTAGAATATATCTGTGTTTGGGAAATTCGACTCATATGTTTCTTTGTTTGTATGTACACAAGAGAAAGAGCATCGAATTAATTTTACAAGCTCACAAAATATGCTCAAACTATTTTTCTCCCGCACTATATTTGGTGGGGGGAGATGGTGGTGCTCGGGAGGTTTAATTGGCGATCATAGTATTTTCACATGTCAATGGAAACAATATAACTGACATGTGAATGATTTCGAAGATGCCGAACATGGAAATCAGGTTCAATGGAAGCAGAATTTGTTTTGGGGACGGACAAAAATATTTAAAAAAATTAATATGAAGGTACACAGTTATTTTTGGTAATTAAAAAAAAAACATTAAAACAATTTAAATTTTTAAATTATTTCTTTAAATCGGTCAAACGTCATAGTTTCGAGATCAACAGTGTAATGAAACTCAAAGACCAAAGTATGCAATCTATATAACATTTTAACGAGTAGCTAGTTTGTTTTACAACAGAATCGAAGTCGATAACAGTTAATTTATCGATAAGATGATGAAAATGTGGGTAAAAAATTGATATTATATTACAAACAAGTAAAAACATTGTGTCGGATCGAAACCGATCAAAAAAAACACAGGCTGAAACTATGTTAAGTTCGGCCCGACCGAACTTTTTATACCTTCCATTATGGGGATGTCATTTAGAATATGTAAAATTAATGTGGGCTTCTAGGAGAAAACTCATAACATGAATATACCAAAAATACGTGAGAAAACGATGATTACCTAATAGGGGTATCAATATTGATCTACACTAAATTTTGAATCAATTTTTGTAATTTTTGGTACTTGCGTGTGCTGCTATACAGTGAGAACCCTAAATACTAAATTACAGCCAATTCTGTTGTAAAACTTGTACAAAATACCGAATATTACACCCCACCTTTATGTGGAGGGTATAAAAACAAGTAAACACGCCGAAGTCACCGAACTATAAATATCCTCCACCATGATGTGGTGCGCATTAAAAATACATAAAATTGTGTCGGTCCCTTTATAAAGACCTATTTTTAAAATATTCTGCAACGATGTTTGTCACCTTCCAAACAAGCGCGACGTAATTTTTTCTCAGGGTAATACCATAACGTGGGTCTGTTTTAAAAAATAGTTTAAAACAACATGTTTTTATAACCTCTTGCATGTGGTTCGCATTAAAATATCTTAAAATCAATGAGCGGAGCAGTATAGTCAGACGGGGCGGACCATAATTAGAGATGGTATTTACCCGGTATTTACCGGGTAAATACCCAAGGGGTGGGTAAATACCGGGTAAATACCCATTTGCGGGTATTTATTTGGGTATTTACTATATTGACTCGGTAATACAACATCTTACACCCTATTTCCGTGTTTCTGTTATCAAATCGATTTATAATGGATAGTTTTACGATACTTTAAAGGCGTGGGTAAATACTTGGGTAAATACCCGAGTATTTACCCACAAATTGGGTATAAACTCATTAACTGCCGAACCACTTGACATAGGCGGCCAAAATTTTGCACACATGTTTCTAATGTCAAAGCAAATATAAGAGTCCAACATGGGGTCCCTGGGTCCAAGTTTTGATATAGGCCCCCATATAACCACATCTCCCGATTTAAGGTATTTTTTTGTCTATTAGACACATTTTATAACCAAATTGGCTGTAATTTGGCACAGAGTGCTCTTCTTGGATACAAAATGTCCATGCAAAATTTTATGTATGTAGGTCCACGTTTACTGGTAGCCCCCATACAAAGGTACCCCTATTTTGAGTATTTACCCAAAAATTGGGTATAAACTCATTAACTGCCGAACCACTTGACATAGGCGGCCAAAATTTTGCACACATGTTTCTAATGTCAAAGCAAATATAGAAATCGAACATGGTTGTAAAATGTGTCTAATAGGCAAAAAATACTTTAAACCGGGAGATACGGTTATATGGGGCCTATATCAAAACTTGGACCCAGGGACCCCATGTTTGATTTCTTGATTATTTGCTTTGTCATTAGAAACATGTGTGCAAAATTTTGGCCGCCTATGTCAAGTGGTTCGGCAGTTAATGAGTTTATACCCAATTTTTGGGTAAATACTCAAAATAGGGGTACCTTTATATGGGGGCTACCAGTAAACGTGGACCTACATACATAAAATTTTGCATGGACATTTTGTATCCAAGAAGAGCACTCTGTGCCAAATTACAGCCAATTTGGTTGTAAAATGTGTCTAATAGGCAAAAAATACTTTAAACCGGGAGATACGGTTATATGGGGGCTATATCGAAACTTGGACCCAGGGTCCCCATGTTGGATTTCTATGTTTGCTTTGACATTAGAAACATGTGTGCAAAATTTTGGCCGTCTATGTCAAGTGGTTCGGCAGTTAATGAGTTTATACCCAATTTTTGGGTAAATACTCAAAATAGGGGTACCTTTGTATGGGGGCTACCAGTAAACGTGGACCTACATACATAAAATTTTGCATGGACATTTTGTATCCAAGAAGAGCACTCTGTGCCAAATTACAGCCAATTTGGTTGTAAAATGTGTCTAATAAACAAAAATTACCTTAAATCGGGAGATGTGGTTATATGGGGGCCTATATCAAAACTTGGACCCAGGGACCCCATGTTGGACTCTTATATTTGCTTTGACATTAGAAACATGTGTGCAAAATTTTGGCCGCCTATGTCAAGTGGTTCGGCAGTTAATGAGTTTATACCCAATTTTTGGGTAAAAACTCGGGTATTTACCCAAGTATTTACCCACGCCTTTAAAGTATCGTAAAACTATCCATTATAAATCGATTTGATAACAGAAACACGGAAATAGGGTGTAAGATGTTGTATTACCGATTCAATATAGTAAATACCCAAATAAATACCCACAAATGGGTATTTACCCAATTTACCGGGTATTTACCCAATTTACCGGGTATTTACCCGTTGGGTATTTACCCACTGCCCATCTCTAACCATAATACCCTACAGAACTATCACTGAACTCTAACTTTCATTGGATCTATATTCCGAGCCTAGATACACAGAAAAAAAATTGTAACCATTTGATAAAAAAATTCAAAAATCCAATTAAAATTGGATTGATTTTTCGCCGATAAAAATAATGTTCATATTTACAATCGCCGATAAAAAAAAATTGTAATCCCATTCGAAAATATTTTGATAAAGGAATTCTCATATTTACTAAAAATTTTGTTGAATTTTATTTTGTTAATCGATAAAATATTTTTCATATTGACAATCTTGTTTATCAAATTATTATTATTATTTCAAATTAAATTTCTTGTAGTACGATACAAAACCTTTTAAACAGCAATTGCCGATTTTACCCTTATTATTACAGCTCTCCCACAAAAATACCTCCAAATTTTCAGTATTTTAACGACTTTAAACTAAATGTGTAGCTCTATACCGAATAAAAACTTATATTTGTTATCCATCTTTTACAATCTATTCAACAAAGTACTTTGTAATAACGTAATAAAAAATAATATGGCATATTACAAAAAAATTATTAAAAATCGTCCAACAAATTTAATAATTTTTTTGGTCAAACTCGTTTGTTGATGTTTTTTTTTTGTGAATTGTTGGTGTTTGATAAACATTTCCGACTACGTTTGAAATATGTTATCGACATCTTTTTGTCGAACGCTGATGAAGCTTTTAATCAAAAATTTCGGGGTGGCTTTTTTTCTGTGTAACATTTGGAGACATTTGCATTTGATTGACCGATTAGAGGTCAACAGCTTCATATTTTCCCAGAGTAGCCTTATGGCTAATGAGGCTAAAATGTGCCTTATCGATATATTGATTTAAGACCCCATGTTTCTTCGGATCAAATCCGTTTCAGACAATTTAGAGTTGGTAGGTTCGCAAACTCTGCACATCATAATATTTCTCCCAGGCTTTGTATAAGTTTAAGATGTTCAAAGATGGGAAATAATATCGGTCCTCTCCTTCTAGACAAATTTATGTAAATCGATTTATAGCACACTTGATACACGGTATACGGTATGCCGCACTGTTCAAAATCGAAATAAGTCACCCGTTCGAGTTATATATGGAAGCAATGTCTGCATCTGCACCAATTGAAAAAAAAAAACGCAGTAACGTTATTCTAGTCTCAATTTGATATGTCATGCAAAAATTTCGTGTCAATTGGACAAACATAAGGAGTTTGGTGTACCATTTACCTAAAATTGGACGAAATATATATGTGGGAGTTATATCTAAATCTGAACTGATTTTCAGGGAACTTAACACAGGTCGTTCTATACTTAATTCAGTACACTATGCCAAACTTCGTGCAAATCGAAAGATACATAGATACATTGGT